CCACATTGGCCTGACTGGAGCTGACCCCCTAAATATACAAGTCAAATGATACCTATGGTTTTGGGTAGAGTGAGGGCTATAAGGGGAAGGAGGTGAGGAAGGAGAAAGGTGACAGTGATCCAAAGATGAAGCAACTCCATAAGGATTAGGCACAGCCTGGCAGTGCCAATGATTCTATTTATTTCCCCTTACTTGGCCTAGGTGAGGGAGCAGAAGTGAGCCTTCAGGAGGGATTTAAATGGTGCAAGTGACATGGCTTGGCCAACAGACTCAGGGAGGAGGGGTGCCAAATATAAGGGGGAGCATGGAGGGAGGTGAGGAGTCAGCTGTTGGAGGAGGATCCCGAGATCGGTATCATTGGTAAAAGCAGGAGGGAATATGAAAGGCGAGAAAGTGCAAGTGGTAGGCAGGGGCTGTGTGAGATAAAACCTTGACAACAAGATGTGTGATTTTGCTCTTCAGTACATTGTTGATCCAGCCAAGTGCCTCATACAGAGGACGTGTCATGGTGAAGCAATGGGCTAGAGAGATGGTTGTGGCAGTAACATTTTGGATGGACTGTAGAGGAGGTCAGGTTCACAAAATACTTAGAATTTGATCGGTTATATGTGAGAGGTAAACCCGGTTCTAACTTTGCACAGAACAAATGTGGTAACGATAAGAGAGACGGTGCACCGCGTTAGCTGGAACTCAGTGTTAAAGAGACATTGATAAGGTAAATTCAGAGTTAAACGCTCCCTTGCCTTATATGAATACTGTAGATTATTAATCCTGAAAAATGTTCACAGTCTCATTTACTTCCTCTCACTGCTATTTCCTTATGTTTTGCAACTCACTTGGTCAGGACAGTGAAACTAGACAGGCTAGTTTCACAGCAAGTCACCGTCCCTTTTTAATTCTCAGGCACTAACACAAGATTGTTGTCATTGGGTTCATAACTATGCAGGACAATATTTAAAGAGCCACCGTCCACTTAAAACTTTCCCATCTGTCTGAACGTTGTTGTTTGAAGCTGGTGTTGTTGCAAATAACACCTCGGGTGATTAGAAATTAATAAGATGAGTGGGGGAATAGTATTTTTTCTCCCTCTGTCAGTTTGTGTGCTTTATGCGTAGAACAGCACTTTGTGTAGGGGTCAGTTTCTTTATTTCCCCCCTTGTGTAGACAGCCAGCTTCCCACGGTGTTGTGTGGCTCTGTAACACAGCAGGAACAGGAGAGAAAAAACATTTTAAAAAATACAAAAATGTGACTGTAAAATCACCAGTCTCCGCAGGAGGGCTCGGAGACAAGTGTGGGACCTCTTAACTACTTCTAATGAGGTGTGTGAAATGGACTAGATTTTAAATAGTTGGTGTATCTTTAAATAAAAAAACCCAAAACCCTGACATGGGAACATAAGACTGGAAAGGGCATTCTTGGATCCACTTCCTTGTTACTGCAGGCAACTGCCTAATTTTTATGAACAAAATAATGATCGTAATACTAACAGGTATGTCAGCAACAAGAAGAAAGTGAAGGAAAGCGTGGGCCCCTTACTGAATGAGGGAGGCAACCTAGTGACAGAGGATGTGGAAAAAGCTAATATACTCAATGCTTTTTGTGCCTCTGTCTTCACGTACAAGGTCAGCTCCCAGACTGCTGCACTGGGCAGCACAGCATGGGGAGAAGGCGACCAGCCCGCTGCGGAGAAAGAAGTGGTTCGGGACTATTTAGAAAAGCTGGACGAGCACAAGTCCATGGGAGTTGGCGGATGTGATTGCAGAGCCATTGGCCATTATCTTTGAAAACTCATGGCGATCGGGGGAGGTCCCGGAAGACTGGAAAAAGGCTAATGTAGTGCCCATCTTTAAAAAAGGGAAGGAGGAGGATCCGGGGAACTACAGGCCAGTCAGTCTCACCTCAGTCCCTGGAAAAATCATGGAGCAGGTCCTCAAGAAATTAATTCTGAAGCACTTAGATGAGAGGAAAGTGATCAGGAACAGTCAGCATGGATTTACCAAGGGCAAGTCATGCCTGACTAATCTAATTGCCTTCTATGACGAGATAACTGGCTCTGTGGATGAGGGGAAAGCAGCGGACATGTTATTCCTTGACTTTAGCAAAGCTTTTGACACGGTTTCCCACAGTATTCTTGCCAGCAAGTTAAAGAAGTACGGGCTGGATGAATGGACGATAAGGTGGACAGAAAGCTGGCTAGATTGTCGGGCTCAACGGGTAGCGAACAATGGCTCCGTGTCTAGTTGGCAGCCGGTATCAAGAGGAGTGCCCCAAGGGTCGGTCCTGGGGGCCAGTGGTGTTCAATACCTTCATTAATGATCTGGAGGATGGTGTGGATTGCACCCTCAGCAAGTTTGCAGGTGATACTAAACTGGGAGGAGAAGTAGATACGCTGGAGGGTAGGGATAGGACACAGAGGGACCTAGACAAATTAGAGGATTGGGCCAAAAGAAATCTGATGAGGTTCAACAAGGACAAGTGCACAATCCTGCACTTAGGACGGAAGAATCCCACGCACCGCTAGAGACTAGGGACCGAATGACTCGGCAGCAGTTCTGCAGAAAAGGACCTAGGGGTTACAGTGGACGAGAAGCTGGATATGAGTCAACAGCGTGCCCTTGTTGCCAAGAAGGCCAATGGCATTTTGGGATGTATAGGTAGGGGCATTGCCAGCAGATCGAGGGACGTGATCGTTCCCCTCTATTCGACATTGATGAGGCCTCATCTGGAGTACCGTGTCCAGTTTGGGGCCCCACGCTACAAGAAGGATGTGAAAGAATTGGAAAACGTCCAGTGGAGGGCAACAAAAATGATTAGGGGACTGGAACACATGACTTATGAGGAGAGGCTGAGGGAACTGGGATTGTTTAGTCTGCGGAAGAGAAGAATGAGGGGGGATTTGATAACTGCTTTCAACTACCTGAAAGGGGGTTCCACAGAGGATGGAGCTAGACTGTTCTCAGTGGTGGCAGATGACAGTGGATATTAGGAAAAACCTTTTCACTAGGAGGGTGGTGAAGCACTGGAATGCGTCACCTAGGGAGGTGGTGGAATCTCCTTCCTTAGAAGTTTTTAAGGTCAGGCTTGACAAAGCCCTGGCTGGGATAATTTAGTTGGGGATTGGTCCTGCTTTGAGCAGGGGGTTGGACTAGATGACCTCCTGAGGTCCCTTCCAACCCTGATATTCTATGAACTTTCCCTTTTAGTAGCACCCTCCACCCGTGATGCATCTGCTGGAAGCTCCAAGAGGATAAATATGGCATTTTACAAACACTAGTTAGCTCAGTCTCACAATGCACATGGAAGTTTATAATAAATACATTTCTATTTGGACTAGGTTTGGTTTCACTCCTTGTTTTGATTAACAGATTCTAAATTCTGGATCTAAACTAACTTGACCATGTCCCTCTCTGAAAGGGAAAGTAATTAAAGAGTAAGATCAGCCCAGTAAAAGGAGTGGTGTGTCTTTAAATCCCCACAGTGCTGGGTTCATGTTAGCGAAAGGACTCAGGGGACAGAGGGATGAGAAGGTGTTGGGAGTGTGGATTGCATCACGCTCACTCTAGTGGGAAATGCCACGAAAGCTGCCGGGAATATCTTTTTCACAACCAATGTTTTGGTGAGTATTGAGCACCTAGACAACCCCCGTTGTTCTTCCATGCTCTGTGCAGGAAGTGGGATAGGTGTGAGCAAATTATTCACCTTAGGAAATAGCAAAATGGAGCTCTTCCACATGCAAAAAGAGGTGATCGGGGTTTCTTTCTGTTTCATCAATTGCAGCCTAATCCTGCAAGATGTTTCACTCCCGTGGAATCACTGGAGATGCTCAGCGCCTCACAGGATTGTGCCCTGAGTGCTAGCCAGCACAAGTCAGGAGAGAGAAAAGAATGCTTTCTGCATTCCCTCTGTTTTCTTTCCTGTTCCTCTTTTTGTCTTGGCAACCCTCCTCCTTCTCAGTCATGAACTAGTGCTTGTGTCCCAGGAAGACTGGCTAATGATCCCAAGCCCTGGTTTAGGAGCAACATGTGGCTCATATAATCTTTCCAAGCAGTGGAGAAACTGCAAGGCAGTGCCAGGGCCACTGGGATCCCTCAGGACTAGCTCCTTTGTGGTCCCAGGCCTTTGTTCATGCTTTTCTCTTCCCCCAGGGAAATGCTGAGGGCTGTCTCTGCCTCCCTTAGTCTTAGGGCTCTCCCTTCTTGGGGTGAGTTAATAGCAGTCTCTTGGCTAAGGAGAGCCCAGTTTCCAGTTGACGAGAGAAGGGACAGCTACGTGTTGCAGGGCCAGCAGCTCTTATCTTTCTCCTTCCCCTATATCTTTCATAGCGTCATAGAAATTAGTTCGTACCCACTCCAGCGGCCAGAGCAAAAATGTTCCATCCTGGCATTTTTCCCTGTCTAATTTTAAATATCCTGAGCTCTGGGGCTTCCACCCCATTCCTAGGGAGGCTATGCCAGACCTTGTAGCTTTCCCTGTTAAGAAATGCTTACTGATATTCAGCCTACATGTCCATTTGTCCAATACTGTTCCCTTACTTCTAGTCAGACCCCCTTGCAACTCCCCATAGAATTCCTCTCCCCACTTAATATCTGCATCTTTCAGATGTTTGCAGGCTGTTCATGTGAAATACATTTTCGACCTAAAGGCATAGGACCCATGATGCATCTGCTGGAAGCTCCAAGAGGATAAATATGGTCTGTAGTGTAATCTCGTGTCTTGTTGCACGGAAAGACTCGTGCCGATTATGGACCTGATTCGATTCCTATTAAAGTCATTGGGGGTTGGATCGGGCCTTAAGAGCACTTGTCCTACCCCTGCCTCTGCCCTACCAGTAATCTGAGGACAGGTGCTAACGCCCACTCCTAGTATCATACAGAATTCTGCCTGAGCACCTTGCATTAACAGGCTCTTAGCTGGGAGTTTGGCCAAGCAGATATGTCCCTAAGATGAGTCCATCTAGGCCACAGCATTCACGGGGGGTTTATTCTTTGAACCCCTGCAGGTTCAGCAGCGTGTTCCCCAGCCTGAACATGGCAGTGAAGAGACGTGAGCAGACTCTGCAAGACTACAAGCGGCTGCAGTCCAAGGTGGAAAAATACGAAGAGAAGGAGAAGACCGGCCCCATCCTTGCCAAGCTACACCAGGTACAGAGCTGGGAGACTGGCGCTTACTGCTGGGGTTGAAAAGCTCTGGAGAGAATGTTAGGGCACCCCTTGCGTGCAGGGTGGCACAGTACAATTTCCCTGGCGTATGTTTCATCCTGACATGCCAAGTATTGTTGAATGGTGTAAGCGCCGAGTTATTTAGCACAGTAACTGGGCATAGCGTGATGAAATTAAGACAGAGACAATCTAGGCATCGAAGATCTATTAAGCTATGGAATAGACTCGCAAGGGAAATGATCGGAACGCCATTGCTTGGGACATTTAAAACTAGACCTGGGAAATCCCTTGGAAACATACACTTGGGTACAACCCTACCTCAGCAGGGAAATGGACTGAATGCTCTTTTGTCCTTCAGTATCATTTATTCAGTGTTTTGGGGCAAGGTGCCGTTATTTTTTCAAAATTAAATTGACATGTGCAATGCTGGGTAAATCTAGGTAAATTAAGAGCACTCAGTCTAAGACCAAACAGAACGTCCTCTCCAAACTAAAGCCCACAAGAACTGGAGATAACTGTAAGAGCACGTTAGGAGACAGCACTCCCCCGAACTTCAGAATTTGCCTAAACAGCTATAAAAAACAATCATAAAATTCTACACCTTTGCCACCTGGTACAAAGCTTAGGTCTCACAAAATTGCAATAGCTGGTTAACATGAACCGTCACCAAATTCTTACGTCTTTCTGAAATTCGAGCAAAGTTGTTGGGGTTTGGGTTTTGTTTTTACTAAATCTTCACCAGCATTCCCGGCCAAATCTGTCATTGCTACAAAACATTCGCTTGAAACCTCTAAGGAACAGTCGCCTTCATCAGAGTCAAAGAACACACCGTTTTGATCACTTTCCCCGCCAAATTAAGTATTGTGTTAAAGAACAGCCCTATCAGCATTAACAAAAGAGAATTCAGACTTCATAGTAAGCAGCTTATGCTGCTCAGCCTCAGTGACTAAAGCTATGGCTGGAAAAATGGGAGTTCTTTTGTCCTGGTGATTAAGTCGGTTTTATTTTTTGCCTAATGAACTTCTGGTGTGATCTAATTTTTTCCCCATGAAAATCTGAAATAAATAATCAAAAGTCTGAGCTTGGACACCTGGGATAGCCAGAGCTGCTGCTGCTGGGGAGGACTAGAAGCCAGGCTATTCAAGAGAGATCCAGATATTTGGTAGGGAGTTAGCATACCCTCATAAGGTATTTCCATCCGGCCTGAAATATACATTGGGCCTTTTATTAACGGTAGCTGGACTGGTGTCAGACAATGCATTTGCCCCTTTCGAGCCTGGTGTCATTTTAAGACCTTACTAGCCGGAAGTCATGCCTGCTCCATATCTCTAGCGTGCTTTCCCAACAAAGGCCCCGGAACCTGTCTTAACACCAATCTGTCCATAGGATTAGATACTGCCAGAGCAAGACCAGCATGTGGAATCTCACTGCTAGCCCCCACCCCCGCCCTTTGGAATTGCACCAGGATTAAGTGGCAGACTTGAACTTGTCTAATGTTTCAGCACCCACCCCCTCCTGCCCTTTTCCACCCCTTCTCAGAGACATTTCCCTTTCTCCCCACGCTTCTGTTTAAAGATCGCCAATAGGACTCTCCAAACTGAAGGTCACAGGCAAAGTGCAAAGACAGGAGAGGGCACAAGGTTAGGGAGAAAACCCCGAGGGCAGACCGAAGACCATCAGAGTCTCGGCATCAGCCCAGCGGCGCTAGCAGGTCCGACAGCCAAGCCTTAGCTCAACTTGGCGTCTCCCCTACTCACCTTTACTTCCAGCAGCATAGCAAAGTTGCTTTGCTGGCCAAGTGAGGCCTCCTCTCTGAATATGGGGTCATGGCACCGGCATGGGCCCCCAATATGGTGCGTGCTGTAGGGTCCTTCAGAACTTTTCACAGTTATCCCAGCGAGAGAGAGAGACAATGTCCAAGTGAGACACCATCTGACCACAGGGCTGCATAGAATCATAGAATATCAGGGTTGGAAGGGACCCCAGAAGGTCATCTAGTCCAACCCCCTGCTCAAAGCAGGACCAATTCCCAGTTAAATCATCCCAGCCAGGGCTTTGTCAAGCCTGACCTTAAAAACCTCTAAGGAAGGAGATTCTACCACCTCCCTAGGTAACGCATTCCAGTGTTTCACCACCCTCTTAGTGAAAAAGTTTTTCCTAATATCCAATCTAAACCTCCCCCCACTGCAACTTGAGACCATTACTCCTCGTTCTGTCATCTGCTACCATTGAGAACAGTCTAGAGCCATCCTCTTTGGAACCCCCTTTCAGGTAGTTGAAAGCAGCTATCAAATCCCCCCTCATTCTTCTCTTCTGTGGACTCTCTCCAATTTATCCACATCCTTCTTGAAGTGTGGGGCCCAAAACTGGACACAGTACTCCAGATGAGGCCTCACCAATGTCGAATAGAGGGGAACGATCACGTCCCTCGATCTGCTCGCTATGCCCCTACTTATACATCCCAAAATGCCATTGGCCTTCTTGGCAACAAGGGCACACTGCTGACTCATATCCAGCTTCTCGTCCACTGTCACCCCTAGGTCCTTTTCCGCAGAACTGCTGCCTAGCCATTCGGTCCCTAGTCTGTAGCTGTGCATTGGGTTCTTCCGTCCTAAGTGCAGGACCCTGCACTTATCCTTATTGAACCTCATCAGATTTCTTTCAGATTTTCTTTTGCAGCCAACAGACGTTCATTTCTCTTTGTGAGGCAGGAGAAGGAACTATTGTTATTAGGTCTCCCAGCAGGTCATCTGTACCTTGCTGCTCACAGAAAAGCAACTTTGATGCATATTTATAGTACAACATAGAGGAGACTGGCTAAGGAAACTTCTTAATGTTTGGTGGCAGATACAAGGAGCTTGCCACGGTGGTGTTAAGAGTGACCTACCTCTGGATCTCTTTATGGGAGAGATTCAGTCATCCCACAGGGTGGTGTTAGAGTCCTTACTGCCTTTGAGTGACCTACCTCTGGATCTCTTTATGGGAGAGATTCAGTCATCCCCCAAACCCACAGGCTGGTCCTCAGAATGTTCCCTTATCGAGATCGCTAGGTCTTCTTGGGCCCTAGTATGAAAAATCACTGTCCTAAGCCAGCTTCCTGGAAGGTCATACCTTGGTTTGTTTTGGGAAAGGGGATTTTTAAGGCAGCTGAGCAACCCCCTCTCTCATTTCCCAGGCCCGTGAGGAGCTGAGGCCGGTGAAGGAGGACTTTGAAGCCAAAAACAAGCAGCTTCTGGAGGAGATGCCCAAGTTCTACAGCAGCCGCATCGACTACTTCGAGCCCAGCTTTGAATCACTGATCCGTGCTCAGGTGAGACTCTTTCAGACGTTAATGGTGGTTGAATGCCGTGCAGGAAGAACAGCATGAGTGAACTTCGCGCCCTTTCTGCCTCATAAAGCGTTGCCCAGATCTGGTGCTTTGCTTCAGCAGAAGGACCTGAGCAAAACATTTGTGATGTTTATTTAGGGCCCTATCCTACAATCCCACTCAAGTCAATGAGCAAAGCCTCCCCGCCCCCCGAAACAGGTGAGATTGTTTGGGGTTCTGAGCTGAGGGGAGGCAACACAAGTGGAAGGTACTTCCTAGCATTTGAACTTGTGATTTTTTTGGCGTCCCAGAGAAGCACTGTACTTGAGTGGCTGGAGCCACTGCTCTGGCTTTCCATGATCCTGTCGTGAAACCAATTTTAAAACTTGGCCCTTCCATAGCACCCTCCTTCCCAGACACATCTGACAAGGGAGGTGACTTGCCCAAGGCAATGTAATGAGTCAGTGCTGAGCCAGGAATAGAACCCAGGAGTCCTGACTCAGGCTGGCGAGAGCGTCCCTGTTTCTGTGCCCATCCTCGCCGACTGGCAAAGGCGTTTTGCAGGGTTTCAAGTTACTCAGTGGAATTTCTATTTTAGTTCTAGAGAGCGGGGGGGGGAGGGCCCCTGACATCGTTTGTTAAGGACAGGGTAGATATTCAGCTAATGCTTAAAACCCAGTCTCTCTGCACCAGTGGGCACATGCACCCACTTCAGGGAGGCTTTAAATGCTAGTCTGCTCTCTCCCTCTTCTCCAACCCCAGAAGGGAGGTCCCCAAGGCTGTTGCAGTCGCAATGTTCAGTGAGGTACTGGTAAGCTTCATTAATAGGGCATCGCTTGATCCTCTATTTAGAGTGTGGAGCCCCCTAGTGGATGCTGTTTAACATTGTACCCTGCCTCTTGCAGATAATAAAGACTGTTACACAGCAGTCCCCCTGGTGCCATACTGAGCCACTGCAGGGAGGGGGTGGTCAGTCCTGACTCAGTACCACCCCCTGAAGTATGGCTACCTGCACTAATAACTCCCCCAAATTATACTGTGTGTGTGTGTTATTTGGAGCTTGGAGCAATCTGACTGGAGACCACAAAACCCCACCCCCCCTTTGGGTGGGCTGAGGTTAACTGGCCAGTAAGCGGCCATTGTTAAAATGTAAGGCTGATACCATCTCTCCCCAGGTTGTGTACTACACTGAAATGCACAAGATCTTCAGAGACCTGACAGAGCAGATTGATGAGCCAGGCCTTACAGATGAGCAGAGAGAGAAAGAGAATGAAGCCAAGCTGAGTGAGCTGCGGGCCCTGTCCATTGTGGCTGATGACTGACCACCCTACCTATGCTGGGGGAGCCTCTTGTCCGCTCCAGCTTCAGCCTACTCCTGTTGAGCAAAGACAGGACAAGCACCAGAACTTTTCCTGTAGCACACAACTATTTATTCAGGATTTTAAAAAAAAGTCATCTCAGTAGGAAAACAAGAGACAAGACAAAAATAGCCACAGACAAGTGAAGAAAAAGGAGGGGGGTTTCAACCTTTCCCATTAAATACAAGTTGTTACCACATTTGTTGTCTAAAGCACCACCTCAATACTAAGTGCAGATGGCAGACCTTCATTTGGAGCTCACAGCCATCACTTACCAGACACCTTTGTAGACAATTAGCAATTCCTACCTCAAAAGTTTGATGATGGGTCAGAGTGGAGCTGTCTCACGTGCTGCAGTCCAACACTGTTAGGCTCCCCCATAATGGGAACCCAGCTCAAGTCTCCTCCCTCAGGCAGTGAAAGGGTTCTTGGTTCCTTCCTCAGCATCTAAGCCCCTCACTCACTGACCTTGCCATTTTTAGTCTAGGCTCATGACAGGGCACAGACTCGGCACACTATACTAGCTTCAGGGGATCCACAAGTGTCAGTTGCTAGATGCTGGTTCTTCCTCCTTCTTCTCTAAGCAGTTATTAGTCTGGAAGAGAGAAAGAAGGCATGAGCAGCAGGATGCCTCCCCCCATCATCTCAGAACACAGTACTTCACTTCTGCCCATGCAAAGGTGTTAGCTGAGAGAAGAGATACCTCACTCTCGCCGCAAGGGGGGGGGGGGGGGGGATTTGATACCTTCTCAATGATCCGCTGGATCTCCAGCTGCAGGGGAACGAGGCGCTTTTTGTTCTCCTGCAGCAGCCTTTGGAAGTGGGATTTCTGCCTCTCTGCTGATTTCACCTGCTCCTCCATATCAGCCAGCTGCTTCTGTACATCCTGCAGCTCAGCGGCCAGCACCTTGTTTGAGGACTCTGTCGCTGAGAACCTGGTCTGGGCATCCTCTGTGGGCAGAGAACAAATTCAACCCTGTTCCCCCCCCCCCCGGAGGGCCCTGACCTACTCTAGCACCCCACCCCAGCAGTGCACTCTGGCTCACCCAGCTTGACCTCCAGAGTGTGGATTTTGCTCTCCAGGTACAGGCGGCTACTCTCAGTCTGCTCTGCTTTCTCCAGCAGCTTTCCCAAGTTGAGGACGGTCCCGCTGTGGGAGATCAGATCCCCATGCTCCACCACTGCCTTGGGCTGGGCAGAACCCTCAGCCACAGAGTTTGAGGCAGGCAGCAAAGCAAGGTTTCCTGAAACAAGAGCAACTGACTTAGGGCAGGGGGATTTCCCCCGCCCGGCACCTATTGCCACGGCCCCTGTAGCCACTACTTACCCAAGAGCCCCTCCCCCGGGATGGGGTCAGAGCTGTCCTGGCGGCTGTAGTGCAGGCTCCGGTACTGACACACGTACTGAGTCACCACTCTGTTCACAAGACGCTTCGCCTGTTAACAGCACCCGCTGCCAGTTAGTGCCAACTTCCTTCACAATGGAGCATTCCTTCCCCCCCCCCCGCTGGTACGCACCTGCTCCTTGCAAAGATGTAGCCCCAGCGTCATGAGGATCTTCTCCAGGTCTCTTCTGTGCAGGTAGCCACAGAAATTCAAATCGAAGTAGATAAAGGCCAAGAGGGCATCCAGGGGCAGCACAGCACTTGGGTCCAGCTCCTTGGGCTGCTGAGGAACAAGGCACATACCTACATAGCTAGGGACCTGCACTTGAAACCCAAGCTCATGACAGCCCTGTTCTCCCCCACCCCTGTGGCTTACTGACCAGGTCATGGAGCGCTGAGAACTCCATCTCTGACTGGTTGGAAGCAATGGATCGCACCTCTGCATCTTCTAACTTGACACCTACAGGGGATACAAGCAAGGCAAGTTGTCTGCACAGCCCAACTGGACGCACGTGCCACCCACGCCATGCGCCCGCCAGACCTACCAAAGTCCTCCTCCTCCTCGTCTCGCAGCAGCAGCAGGTCATCCTCTAGGCTCAGCATGCACAGCTCATCAGTTGAGTCTTTGGGCTCCACTTTGGCCTTCTCATCCTCTTGGGGATCTTCACTGCATGCTGGCTTCTGCTCTGCCTCCTCCTGATGGGTCTGCGCACAGGCAGGAAAGAGAGAGAGAGTCAGCACTTCGCTGTAGTCTCAGCTGAGGGCCCCATGGGCATGGGGACACACCTGCCCAGGCTCCTGCTCACTGGCTGCCGCCTCCTCCACCTCCTCCTCCTGCACTTTCTCATGCTCAGCTGGCTTCTCTGGCTCCAGGTTCTTTGCTTCTGTCATCTCTTCCTTCTCGGGCAGAGCCAGCAGCGCCTTGTAAAGCCTGTAGCCAAAATCCCGCTGCAGCATCTCCTGGAAGAGCTCTGCCATCACTGCCACCTTGGGGAGGGAGAAGGACAGAAAGAATTCTAAGTGCAGCACTCTACAGAACTGGTCCGCTCACCCACAGTAGAACAGGGAACCACACACCAGCTTGGCCTGGTGCCTGCCTCCAGGGAGAGGTGAGCCTACCTCAAATGAAAGCTTTTCCCTCTGTCTCCTGTACTCCAGCAGGGTGCAGAGCGAGAGGTTGGAGCAGCTCGGCTGCCCACCTGGCATTGCTGGTTTCGGGTGAGCAACGATGGCAGGTTCAAGTGGGGGAGTTGGAGCTTCTGGTTCAGCAGCAGCATCTGTGGCATTTACTTCCTGTGCATTGGCCTCCATTTCCTGGTCAGGGGCTGCTTCTGGTATCTCCACATCCTTTTTGAAAGCATTACAGAGAGATCTTGACAAGACTGAATGATAAGACCTTTACTACCATTGCTCTTGGCTTTATGACAGCCCGCTCTCACCATCTCAGCTTTCTCCTCCTGCGAGGGGGATGGCAGAGGGGCCTTCTCGGCTTTCTGCTGGCACAGGGCCTCCCACTCCTCCAGAGACGGCATGCAACTCCAGACATCCGGCAGGAAGATCACCGTCGTCTCCCTCTGCAATGGGTCTCCCCGACGCAGATACCTGAACTCTGCAAAACGGAACCTAGAGCAGGGGAGGGGAGGCTCAGCTTTTAGGAACAGGGAATAAAACCTATCACTGCTAGGGTCCATTCCCCCACCATGTTAAAGACAGAAGGTCTCCATCTTCCCTCGGCTGTTACTAACCAACCAAGTCACATGGGAGACTAGGTTTAAGCAAAGTAAAATCAGTTGCTACGGTTACCCAGTGCAGGAATTCTATATATAGCCATGATGTGATCAGCCAAACCAAAGTTCCAGCCCATATCTACATGGATCTGAGCACCCCATCCACCAACCCGGAGCAGGCACCCCAAAGTTCTACACAGCTATTCCGTCCTGCCTGTTGAAGGGAATGAACAACACAGGAAAACTCATTTAGAGTGGTATATTTTTGGTCCGATTATCTCACCCATTGGTAATGGCAGTCACTTTGGCTGCAGCCCTGAACACTCACCACTTCGTGCAAGCGCTCAGGTCCAGGCCAGTCTGGGCCTTGGTGCAGCGAATGGCTGTGCGAACCAGAACCATGGGGTCAGAGTCTGGCTCGGGGCCATCTAGGGAAGGCGACCACTCCCCTCCAATCAGCACAGCTTCATCCTCTTTCCTCCCCAGCAGGAACTAGGGAAGGAGAAGAGAAGCCCAATAAGCCTCTGTAGAGGAGGGAATTCCTGCTCCCCACAGATTAACAGCAGCCTCACCTTTATTTGCTTTGTGGGGTGCTCTGGACTCTCCTTCTGCTCGCTGGGCTCTTCAATATATAATAAGCAATGGCGATACAACTCCTCTAGCCCTGGGGACGACAGCAGCATCACCTGGGGGAACAGCAACAGGGTCAGACGGGCACAGATACCCACTGCCCTATGTCACCCAGGGCAGGAAATCTCTCACCTTGGCACTGAATGCAGGATCCGCGTCCTCCGGCACAACGTCCTCCTCTGTCTTGGGCGGCGCCGCCTCCTCTGCGGGGTCAGCCACCAGGATGCGGCTGGGGTGCCTCAGGGTCAGCGGCTGGGCGAGCGGGAACGTGTCCAGCCAGCACAGGCGGACATCGTAGAACTCCCGGGGCAACTGGATGCTGCAGTAGCGTCTCAGGATTTCCATGGCATCACAGAAGGGGCTGGAGCCAGGCAGAGAGAAACTCGGGCTAGCAGCAGACACACACAGCCTCAGACAGTGGAGCATTAGAAGCTAGCGATGGTAATGACTTTCAGTTGCTACCGGCTTCAAGGATATGGGGGAGAGCAGTAAGTTAGGGGCAGAGTGAAAGCTAGACTGCAATCAGAGCTATTGCATTAGCGCCCGTGGGCTCTCACCTGTCCACGGCATAGCGTGCAAAGTAGACCCGGTACTGTGGCGGATCATGGCGTGGCTTTTTCACTCCCCACGGTTCGCCGCCTTTCTGTTTCCGCTTCTTCGAATCAAAGTCGTCCCTGTAACCAGCACAGTGTCCGTAAGTATAGTCATCTTCCAGCCCTAACAGGCGACCTCTCTCCTTCCTCCAAAACCCTCCCTTTGGAGCTTATAGGGGACACACTTTCCACAGTCCTTACCATCTGCCTGAGTCCTGCCTGCCCTTTGGGCCCCGACCAGGGTATCTCCCAAGGTGGCCCAGATGGAGCGAAGGGGATGACTGGAAGAGGCTCATGGCTGGGGAAACAAATACACAGTCTTATTGCTAAGCCGCTCCAAAAGCCAATCCCTATCTGGACTAACTAAGGCTTGCCCTCGCTCCAGGAGGTGCCATCCCAGGGCTCCCACAACCCATGTCTGGAGGCAATCGAATTGGTTGGTGCACATAAGCTTTCCTCTGGCTTCATGAAGATTGGGGCTTATTCCAGACTTCTTACCCATGCCACAAGGACCAAAAGTGTCCTTGCTAAGAGGAGAGACCAAAATGTCCACAGGACCCTTGCCACTAAGACAGATGGATCATCCCAGGAATCCCTGTAGCTCCAGTGCTCTAAGTCTCCCCCGCATTATACTCACGTTTCTGGGGAAACAGAGGAGGGATCCGGTGAGGCTGGAACAGCAGCTGAGGTTGGGCTCCCAGGATGCCTTGTTTCTGTCCTAAGGATGCCACATGCAGGAGAGGGGTGGGGGCCTTCAGGAGGGGCTACAGAATGAAAGGCATGCAATATTCAAGCCTAGAGCCTCACAACAAGGGCTCAACAGGAGATGGCCCTCAAAGGGAATGAGAGGGAGTTCACCTGGCAG